TGTGTTCCTGGAGACCCAGAATCGAGTCCCACATCGGGTTCCCTGCACAGAGCCTGCTTTTCCCTCTGCCTGTGTCTCTGCCTCTCTCTCTCTCTCTCTCTCTCTTTGTCTATCATAAATAAATAAATAAATAAATAAATAAATAAATAAATAAATAAATAATTTATCCATTTATTCATGAGAGACAGAGAGAGAGAGAGGCAGAGACACAGGCAGAGGGATAAGCAGGCTCCATGCCGGGAGCCCGACGCAGGACTCCATCCCGCGACTCCAGGATCGCGCCCTGGGCCAAAGGCAGGTGCCAAACTGCTGAGCCACCCAAGGATCCCCAGATAAAATCTTTAAAAGAAAAAAATATTAAAGGAAATTCTTCATTCTGAAAGAAAATAGTGCCGGGTGGAAATGTGGATGAATGTGAAGGAGTGAGGAATGCTGGAAATGTTAAATATTAGGGTAAATATATAATGTTTTCCCTAGTTTTTAAATTTCTTTAGAAGAAGATTGGCTCTTTAAAGTGAAAGTAATAGTGTGTTATTGGGTTTACAACACACCAAAGTAGAATGTATGGCAGTAATTGTTCTAAGAATGGAGGGAAATGTAAGCATGCTGCCGTAAAGGTCTTATATTTTTATATGAAATAACACGAGATGCATAAAAGATGCTTATTGTAAGTTTATAGCAAGTACTGAAAATAGAAAGCAGACACAGTCTGAGGTTGGCATAAATGTAGACAAATAGATCAACACAACAGAATCAAGAATTCAGAAATGGGTTTTTGCTTATACAGTCAATTGAGTTTTTTTTTCAAAAGCAATTCCAGAGGAACTGTACAAAGTGCTCCATGAGGAAGGTAAAATCTCTGTAACAAATGATGCTACAATAACTGTATGGAGAAAAATGAACTTCAATCCATACAGTCCCCTCACACAAAGCATACTCAAAATGGACCTTGGATCTCCACATTAAAGCTATAATGCTTTTAGAATAAAGTGTTGGAAAATATCCACATGACTGAGGTAGGCCAAGACTTCTTAGACTAGGTCCAGGAAGCACTAACTAATCCTAAGAAGATTGAGAAAGTAGACTTCATCAAAACTTAAAACTTTTATGCCCATCAGAAGATGTAGCTAAAAATATGAATAGGCAAGCCACACACTGGGAGGAAAAGATCACAAGACATCTATGACAAAGGATTTGTATCCAGAACATGTCTGAACAACTCTTATAAGTCAGTAAGAAGTCAGCCCAATTTTTCATTGTGCAGAAGATTGGAACAGGCACTTCACAAAGGGCTGGCTGATACACACTTGAAAGAATATTCAACAATAGTCAAAAGGTAAATATAAATTAAAAATTTAAAACTGAAAAAAAAAAATTTTTTAAACTGTGCCATTGTATACTCACTAGAGTGGCCATATTAGAAATACTGATAATGCCAAAAGAGGCGCCTGGGTGGCTCAATTGGTTAAGCATCTGACTTCTGCTCAGGTCATTATCCTAGTGTCCTGGGATTAAGTCTCAAGTCCAGCTCTCCTCACTGGGGAATCTGCTGCTCCCTCTGCTCCTGCCCCCACTCATTCTACCTCCCTCTCTTTCGCTCTCTCAAATAAACTCTTTAAAAAATAAAAAAAAGGAGGGACACCTGGTGGCTCAGCAGTTGATTGAGCGTCTGCCTTTGGATCAGGGCATGATCCCGGGTTTCCAGGGATCTCGTCCCTCATCAGGCTCCCTGCAAGGAGCCTGCTTCTCACTCTGCCTGTGTCTCTGCCTCTCTGTGTGTGTGTCTCATGAATAAATGAAATAAAATCTTTTTTTAAAAGATTTTTATTTGCTTATTCATGAGAGACACACACAGGAGAAGCAGGCTCTATCCAAGGAGCCCGATATGGGACTCAATCCTGGGACTCCAGGGTCACACCCTGAGCCGAAGGCAGCTGCTCAACTGCTGAGCCACCCAAGCATCCCAAAATCTTAAAAAAAAAAAAAATTTTTTTTTTTTAAGGAAATACTGATAATGCCAAATGGTGAGCACATGGAGCAAGCAGAGCTCTCTGGGAGCAATATAAAGTTGTACAACCACTTTGGAAATAGATCTGACAATTCATAAACCTTATACTTTATAACCCAGTTACTCAACTTCTAGATACCCCTGAAACTTCTACATAAATGTTCAAGAGCAGCTTTCATTCAAACAGCCCCAAATGGAAAGCCACTTAAATGACTTCTGCCAGACAGTTAAGCTAATGTGGCATATCCATACAAAGGCATACTGATGACCAGTAGTACAGGTACCAACAGGATAGGCCTCAGAACAGTGTTTTGTGTGAATGAAGCTAAACATGAAAGAAGACATGTTCTGGTTCTTTCTGCATGAAGCTCTAGGACAGGCATAAGCCATCTATGGTGGAAGAAATCTTAGCACCTGAAGTCAGCAGAAAATAATAATTGGGGGTGTTATTGTGGTATATGTTTCGGGGGTAATGGAAGTATATTATATCTTGGTAAGAGTATGGGTTACACACCTATGCATATGCCAAAACTCATATTGTGTCTCCATTTAAAGATAGGTAAATTATGCCTTGGTTCCTCCTCTCCTCCAAAAAATGGTAAAACTCATGCCCAGTGTTTATTGTTCCTCAAGACTTGTCCTGTAGAATAGCAGAGAATGTATGTGTAGTGAACAAAAACCCCTTGAAATTCTTATCCATTTGAGAACTTGAAACTGATGAAAATGCCAGCTTTTGGATAGCAAATAAGATTTCACTGGGACTGTTGGATAGAGTCTTTGAGTGCTTGTGCATGGTGATAGAGATAGCAATGAAGCATGCACTGTAAGCAACTCTTAAAAGGCACAAAGCTAAGTATGTCATCAGAGGGCTCCATGTGTGGGTGCACAGAACCAGAACATTGCAGGTGAAGTGTAGCTTGTCATAGAGCTTATGAATTTGAATTTCTCTAAACACCTCAAGCTTCCAAAAGGGACCCAAGAAATAAGACCATATGGGGCAGCTGGCCTAGTTGGTGGAGCATGTGACTCTTGATCTAGAGATCTTGAGTTCCAGCTCCATGCTGGGTGTAGAAATTAAGAAGGAAGGTAGACATGACTTAATAACAGTAAACCAGCAGGGAACCTGGGTGGCTTAAACATCTGCTTTTGGCTTAGGTCAAGATCCCAGCATCCTGGGATTGAGTCGAGTCTTGCATCTGGTGCCCTGCTCTGCAGAGAGCCTGCTTCTCCCTCTGCCTCTGCCTGTTGTTCCTCCTGCTTGTGCTCTCTGTCAAGTAAATAAATAAAATCTTTCAGAAATATCTTTTTTTTACTTTTTTTAAAGATTTTAATTTTTTTATTCACGACAGACACACAGAAAGAAGGGCAGAGACACAGGAGAGGGAGAAGCAGGCTCCATACAGGGAGCCTGACGTGGGACTTGATCCTGGGTCTCCAGGATCATACCCAGGGCTGAAGGCAGTGCTAAACCACTGGGCCACCAGGGCTGCCCTCAGAAATCTCTCTCTCTCTCTCTCTCTCTCTTTTTTTTTTTTTTTTTGATTAAAAAATAAAAGTAAACCAGTAGGGTGCCTGGGTGGCTCAGTCAGTTAAACATCCGACTCTTAATTTTGGCTCAGGTTGTGATCCCAGGGTCATGAAATTGAGCCTTGAGTTGGGCTGTGTGATTACTGGAGAGTCTGCCTGAGAGTCTCTCTCCTTCTTCTTCTGCTCCTCCCCGCTAGCATGCACTTGCTCACCCTCTAATAAATCGTTTTAAAAAAAAAGTAAACCAGCACTCAGCTTCATTGGAGGCATTGGAGGTATCATTTGGTTGCATGCTGGAGAAAGTATGGGTGCCAATTCTCTCATAAACCCCCATTGTTTAGAGGAAATGTCCCAGGAGGCCTCATTCCAGCTTCCCCCCTTTGCTCCTGAATCTAAACTACCCAGACCACAGCTGAGCCCCTGGCTTTACAATGGTGCTACTCAAAAGAAAGCATCCACAATAGGAATTGCCATAATTAGTCAGGTTGGGACAGATGCTATTTTGGTAGAATTCCAGCATTTTTTAATCGGATATGGATTTATAGATAGACAAGCATGACATACTCCTGAGTTGTGTCCTTGCCACATGGAAATCTCCATCGGTGAAGAAAGAAAGCAAAAGAAACGATGCAAAAACTTGTTCCTTTCTTTTCTTTGATACTTTCCAAACTGAGACAGTAGGTCCAAAGAGAATCTGAAAAATCACCAGGTAGAGTATGATCTTAGTTTAAAAAAAAAAAAAAAAAAAAAAAAAACTTAGGGTTTTGGGGGTTAAAGTAGATCTTGTTTTTATTTTTCAGCTTTTTATTTTTCAGATGTCCTAAATTGAACATACAGTTTTATTTATTTTTGGACCTCAGTGCACTAGATGGGGTCCTTCCTGTCTGGTTTATGAAACATAATTGTTGTTATTTCGTGTTGGACTCTTGTTTACTTTTTCATGGACTGGGTGAAGGGCCAGAAACGTGACCTGTACTCGCCCCTGCCCCTCTCTCACTTCCAGAGTGTGTGTGCATGCCCGTGCACCATTCATTCCTTTTCACTGCTATATCAGGATCTGTTGTGTGAGTTACTTTTATTAGGGAAGAGTTTCTCAGTAAGTCACTCCTTAGGTACCTTTTCTTCTCCTCAGTCCTTTTGCTGTCGGTTACTGTAGATGAGCTGAGCTAGAGTTCCCAGTGGCTAAATAGATAGATGTATTTACAAATCTTTGCCCTGGGGCAGTGTTCAGGAAGGGAGGTGAGTTGTAATGTTTGGGAACTCTTAGGAAGTCAGCTCTTAAGACAGAGACACAATGGAGCCACACAGTGCCCCCGTTTTCTCTGGGGTTCACTAAAATGACCCTGAACATGTCTCCCTGCCGCAGCTCTGACCTGCTCTCCATCTTTGATGCACTTCAGTATCACCATTTAATATGTGGCCAGGATACACCGAACATCCTTTTGTCTCTCATGTGTTCTTCCAGATAAACATCGAAGACCTTGAGGAGGGACCTGTGCTGAATGGGGAGAGATCCGATTGTCTGCTTACAGATGCTGTGGTGTCAGGGAACAAAAGGAGATCTCAGAGTGGAAGTGCAGACACCAAGAAAGCTGCCGAAGCAGCTGACAAAGCAGTGCCCCCAGAGCAGGTATGGGGACCAGGAGGTGCCCACCACACACACACACACACACACACACACCCTCTGCTGTCACTTTCTGAGTTCCAGTTACCCCCAAATTCTCTTGGGACCTCAGATAAGATTTGCAGGAAATCCTCGAGATTGGTTGTGAGCATCAAGGGGACCACATACAGGGTCCCCTAGACAAGTTTCCTTGACACAAGACTTGCCTCCACACTTTGGGAGGGTCTTCTTCTATTCCATAGGGTGTCTGTTCTTTGATTGTGTGTCTGGAGCTCTGGTCAGGTGGACAGGCCTTTGGGTGGACATGCCTTGAAGAAATGTTAGTGAAATGTTAGTCAAGTTAGTGTTGGGTTATGGCTGGAGTGCATGCTTGTTTACTCAGCAAGTACTTCTTACAAACTTTCTGGGTTCTAGGGACAAGTCTGCCTTCCAGGGGCCTCTGGTTGGGAGTGTGACAAGTGCATAGGGGCACCTGACTGAACTTGAGGTGGTGGAGGCATTACACTGCAAGGAAGGAAAGCACTAGGTGAAGGCACAAGAGATATTGAGGCAGAGGCATCATGTGTGTTGGGGGGTGGGGACAGTGCAGTACAAGGGGACCTGGTCTCCCAGGTAGCTAAGTGTGCTAGGAAGGATGGTTGGCAAAGTGAAAGATGAGAGCAGAGGGCAGGTGGGTGCCCTCTAAGGCCCTCTTGAGGTCGTGGGAAGTCCTGAGTCCTGTCTAGAAGTAGGGGAGAAAGTCGGAGGGAGGACCAGAGATGCAGGCCAGTGAGAGGTACTTGTTGGAGAAATAGGTGAGTTCACAGGACATTCAGGGTGGGAGGGAGGGGATGCCAAGCCTGGGTTCCCATGTCCCTCTCTAGCTTGTTGCTTTAGTTGTCAGACTGAAGATTTTATTGTCTCTTTCCCTTGATTAAAATGTGCTTCTTTTTTTAGTCTAATATAAGTGGTAAACTCCGAAAGAAGAAAAAGAAACAGAAAAATAAGAAAAACACTACAGGAGAAATTTTGGTATGTGCTTTCAGCTGTTTCTCAAGATGAAGTTAGAACCAATTCATTTTTATTTGATATTTTGATTCCTTACCATTAGGATATAATTCAGAGGTCGGGGAAAGTCACTTGGCAAATTTTGCTTATGTTTGTTCATGTTGTTTCATGAGGGTTAGACCTCACTCTGTGCTTTCCATTTTCTGGCAACCATCTGAAATGACGTCCTTTGGATAGCACAGTCCCTTCTGAGTCCACTGCCCCTGTGCCCTGACCTTTTTCTAGTGCTGATGGGCTAATTTGATGTTGACATGTAAGCATCCAGGTATAGCCTGTGTCAGAAAATCCGTTTCATTGATGATTCACTGTCTGGTTCTGTGTGTCCTGTCACTGGTAGTTACAGTCATGAGTTCCACCTGAAGAAGTGAGGTGAGCAGTATAGGCATGTAACTTGTTATTTCAAGAGTCCTTCTGGTTCTGCGATCATGCTAATTCTGAACTTCCTCTAATGAAGCATTTCTTCTTTTTTTCTGAATATGTGTGTAGTATGTAGTGTTTGGATTATGAACTGTCAGGAAGTAAATACAGTATAATGCTAGTTCTTTGTAAAAATCATTTTGTTAGGGCAGCCCCGGTGGCGCAGCGGTTTAGCGCCGCCTGCGGCCTGGGGTGTGATCCTGGAGACCCAGAATCGAGTCCCACATCGGGCTTCCTGCATGGAGCCTGCTTCTCCCTCTGCCTGTGTCTCTGCCTCTCTCTTTGCTCTCTCTGAATGAATAAATAAATAAATCTTAAAAAAAAATCATTTTGTTAAAAAAAATCATTTTGTTGTTGATTGTTATGATGTTTAAAGTCAGTGTAGTGATTAATATGTTGTTCTGGGGCTTTTAGGAAAATGGACTGGAAGATATTGACCGCATCTTGGAGAGGATTGAGGACAGCAGTGGTTTAAACCGCCCAGGCCCGCCTCCCCTGAGCTCGAAGAAGCATGTCTTGTATGTGGAGCACAGGTACAGCCCCTCTCCCTCCTGGCTACGACAGACTTTGTGAGAGGAAAAATCATACTAAAAGAAAGAAGAAAGCTTACTGTATTTAAAAGTGATGTAGGTTTATGGCCAAACATTTAGGCAATAGGAGCAAGGAAAAAGAAGTAAAAGAGAAATCCAAGGACCTGTCACCTAGGTTTATGTATCTGGGACTGTTTTTTTCTTGAACGATATTGAAGAAAGATGTCACTCTGATAAACGATTCCTCTCTTGTCCTAGAAGATGCTTCTTTCATGTCAGAATAGCTGTTCTCCCTGCTGGGTTTTATGTGACCTTTCAGAATTCCCAGAATCATTATAGAAGAACTCAATTTCATTTTTCTTTGTAAAATTTTCAATTCTCTAGACACTTGAATCCAGACACAGAACTGAAAAGGTATTTTGGTGCTCGAGCTGTCCTGGGGGAACAAAGGTAAGATCAACACTGGCTGTGTTCTCAGAGAAGGGAGGGTGCATTCCCAAGGCCAGTTAAACCCCTGGGGAGGGACGAGGAGGATAGGTAAGGCGCCTTGCCAAATGAAAGCCTGAGGATTTCTGGTTCTGAGGAATCTCAGGGGTCAGGGAGAAGTTGACATTTGACCTTTTCAGTGACTGTTGGGCTCTCACCCTCACACTGCCTCTCCTAGCATGTGACTCATAATTTTACAAAGATTCTGTAAGTCCTAAAGTTTTGAACTGAAATCTTGACCAAGTTAATTTTTTTCTCAATCAGCAGCAAAATCAACATGGGGTTTAGATTCTGGAATAAGTTTGATCTTTGTCAGTTTAACAGTTTTTAATGGTTGGCACCATGTGGTCAACACAATGAGAATGCTCTGAGCATGAGGATCTGTTTGCAGGATTTTCTGTAGGAGTTGGGGGTGTTTAGCTGTCTGGACACTCCAACATGGAGTCCCAGTTCTGACCAGGAGCTTCCACACTAGCAGAAGCTTTGTCTTTTCTGGATGTATAATTAAATGCTTGTTATGAAAAAAAAAAAGATGAGGTAAGGGGCACCTGGGTGACTCATTTGGTAGGGTACCTGACTCTTATTTTCAGCTCAGGTCATGATCTTTGGGGTCCTGGGATCGGGCCCCACACTAGGCTCTGCATTCATTGGGGAGTCTTCTTGTCCTCCCTCTGTCCCTTCCTCCTCACCTGTGCATGCTCTTTCCCTCTCAAAATCTTTAAAAAAAAAAAAAAAGACTATTTATTTATTTTTAAAGATTTTATTTATTTATTCATGAAAGACCCAGAGAGAGGCAGAGACATAGGCAGAGGGAGGAAAAGCAGGCTCCATGCAGGAGCCCGAAGCGGGACTAGATCCCGGAACTCCGGGACCACATCCTGAGCTGAAGGCAGATGCCCAACCGCTGAGCCACTCAGGCATCCCAAAATTGAGGCAATTTAGAAGTAGAATTGTCTCCTTTGACACCTCCGCCTGCCAAAGATAACCATTCTTTGTGGGGTCCTCTGCACACACATCTTGTTCCCCGGCACCACAGAGTTTTGCTGGCGTGTCACACCACCCAGTTCTGCATGGCTAGGTTCTAGGCACCATTTTCCACACCCTGGTATACAAGGGGAATGCGCTTACCCTAGGGGACAGGTGTTGGCTGTAGTCTCCCTGCATCTGTGTGGTCATTTCTAGTGAAATTGATTGGCAGCAGGTATTCCCATTTGCATTACCTCCAAGTTGTTCCACTGCCCTCCAAGCACCTGTGTGCCTCAATCCACCTGCCATCTGTTTCTTCTTCTCTGAGCTGTCGTAGAGTTAGGAGTTCTAGATTCTGTCTAACGTGTAGATGGAGGACTTTTTTTCTTTGCGAATGGTTTTTGCTTTTATCTTTGGTGTTAAGTTATTCAGGACACAGGGTTTTGGACTTTATGTCTTCTTTTGGAATATTGATGAAAAACATTTTCACTTTTAAAACATTCCTCTGGGGATCCCTGGGTGGCGCAGCGGTTTAGCGCCTGCCTTTGGCCCAGGGCGTGATCCTGGAGACCCCGGATCGAATCCCACATCGGGCTCCCGGTGCATGGAGCCTGCTTCTCCCTCTGCCTATGTCTCTGCCTCTCTCTCTCTCTCTCTCTCTCTCTCTCTCTCTCTCTGTGTGTGTGTGTGTGTGTGTGTGTGTGACTATCATAAATAAATAAAAATTAAAAAAAAAATAAAACATTCCTCTGGGGGATCCCTGGGTGGCGCAGCGGTTTGGCGCCTGCCTTTGGCCCAGGGCGCAATCCTGGAGACCTGGGATCGAATCCCACATCAGGCTCCCGGTGCATGGAGCCTGCTTCTCCCTCTGCCTGTGTCTCTGCCTCTCTCTCTCTGTGTGACTATCATAAATAAAGAAAAAAAAATTAAAAAAAAATAAAAAAAATAAAAAATAAAACATTCCTCTGGGGTAGCCCTGGTGGCGCAGTGGTTTGGCGCCGCCTGCAGCCCAGGGCATGATCCTGGAGACACTGGATCAAGTCCCACGTCGGGCTCTCTGCATGGAGCCTGCTTCTCCCTCTGCCTGTGTCTCTGCCTCTCTCTCTCTCTGTCTCTATGAGTAAATAAATGAAATCTTTAAAAAAAAAAAAATTCCTCTGGGTCACTATCCTGGGCTGGACGTTGTGCCTGTCCTCACCAGCTCCACTTGTTTGCTTCTGCTTGGCCCACCTTTGCCATCGCTTCACACTTCTGCCTTGTCTTGTTTCTGTGCAAATCATAGTTCATAGTAATTATATTTATTTTTCTAGTACTATTTTACTTCTAGAATATTGATTTCCTTAAAACTAAGTCCCACCGGGACACCTGGGTGGCTCAGCGGTTGAGTGAGTGTCTGTCTTCAGCTCAGGGCCTGGTCCCGGTTCAGAGATCGAGTCCCACATCCGGCTCCCTGCAGGGAGCCTGCTTCTCCCCCTCTACCTGTGTCTCTGCCTCTCTCTGTGTCTCTCACGAATAAATAAAGTCTTAAAAAAAAAAAAAGAAAAAGAAAAAAAAGAAACTAAGTCCCACCAAAGGCTTCCCTGAGAAGCCACGGTTCCCTGTCTCCTTCATTCGTTAGCCTGCACGAAGATAGACTTAGTGTGTTTTCTGGTTGTCCTTCCTGGTGGCTGCTTCAGAATCTGCAGATGTCATGTGCTCGGCTTTCTCTGATAGTCTCCATGACACAAATACTGGGCATGCTCATCCTCCAGCTGCTCTGCTCATTTCTGCCCTCCTCAGTGCTTCCTCCCGCCACCTCCCTGTATTCTGTATGGTCTTTATGGACAGCTTATTGCAGGGCTGGGCTAGCCCTGGGGTTCCTTAGATCACACAAGTCTGAACATCCAATTTTCCTTTTTATATGCTACCAAGCTCCCGGTCAGAACTGGACTCTGTACTGGAGCGTCCAGAAAGCTTGAACACCCCCACCTCCTACAGAAAGTCCTGCAAACAGACTCTCATGCTCTGAGCATTTCTCACTGTGTCTACCATGTGGTGCTAACCATTAAGAACTGTTAAACTGACAAAGATCAAACTTATCCCAGAATCTAAACTTCATGTTGGTTTTGTTGCTGATTGAGAAGCAAAAATCTGGCTAAAGTTTCAGGGCTAGCAGCTCAAACTTTAAGAGGGAAAAATGAGTTTTCTTCAGATTTTGGCCATGGTTTTCAGGTACCATGTGTTTTTTTGTTTTGTTTTGTTTTTTGTTTTTTTTTACCATGTGTTTTCTCCTGCAGTTTTGCCTTCTTGTTGGAAAAGAAATACACTTTTTTATCCTGTTCCTAAAACAGGCCAGAGTCTTACTCAAGTTTTCTTTCTTTTTCTTTTTTTTTTTTTAAATATTTTATTTATTAATTCATAGAGATGCAGAGAGAGAGAGAGAGAGAGAGAGAGAGAGGGGCAGAGACTCAGGCAGAGGGAGAAGCAGGCTCCATGCAGAGAGCCTGACTTGGGACTCAGTCCAGGGTCTCCAGGATCATGCCCTGGGCTGCAGGCGGCACTAAACCGCTGCGCCACCAGGGCTGCCCTTTTTTTTTTTTTTAATTTAATTTATTTATTCATGAGAAACACAGAGAGAGAGGCAGAGACATAGGCAGAGGGAGAAGCAGGCTCCCTGTTGGGGAGCCTGATGTGGTACTCCATCTCAGGACCCCAGGATCATGACCTGAGCCAGCTGCTCAATCACCGAGACTCCTAGGCATCCCGAATATTTTTTCTTAATGCAGTGGTTCAGATTATCAAGAAAGTATAAAGAAGAATGTACACATGTACACATGTCTGTTACTCAGCTTAAGAAACAAAGCATCAGTGATGGCACAGAAACCCTTCTTTGCAACCACAGCTTTCAGAGGGTGATGTGGCACCTGTGGCAGAGACTCCTGGATCACAGAGGTGGAGCACATGGCTGAGGGGAAAGAGCAGTTCATGCACAGCATCTCAGGAGATGGACCTCCCTCCTCTGCTGCCCACTTGTGCCTCTGTCTTACTAGTTATCACTCAGAAGTGTATTGACGTCAGTGTACTGATAGACCCTGCCAGTTCTCTTCATGGTTACCGTTCTTCTCTTTTCAAAATGTGTTGTTAAATTGGTGGTGTCTCTTGGAGACCCGGGATCAAATCCCACGTCGGGCTCCCGGTGCATGGAGCCTGCTTCTCCCTCTGCCTGTGTCTCTGCCTCTCTCTCTCTCTGTGTGACTATCAGAAATAATAAAAAATAAATAAAATAAAATAAAGTAAATAAAATAAATAAAATAAAATAAAGTAAATAAAATAAATAAAATAAAATAAATGAAATGAAAATAAAATAAAATAAAATAAATAAAATAAAATAAAATAGTGGTGTCTTGAGACAGGGGAGAGGACCCACCTTATGACAGACCTGCCCTTCATCCTCTTTGCTCAGCTGGCATCGCATTTGTGCAGCCTGGCCCACAGGGAAGCCAGCTCACTTGAGTCCGCAGGGCCCCTACACATTTGCTCTCCTCCTGGTCTTTATTTTTGGTTTTCAATTTTTGTTTCCTTTTTATCTGTATTTCCTGCCATTTTGCTGGACTGTAAATTTGCTGGTTTTTTTTTCTTTCTCTGGTGGTTTGGTTATTTAGATTACATAGTTTCTAGTTTTGTCTGGCAATTGTTCCTTTTTTTTTTTTTTTTCTGGCAATGGTTCTGTTGTGTTGTTGACACCATTTGCTTTCTGTCCTGGTCACGCTGGTGGAAGTACCACCACTCATCCCCTCCCTTCTCTTCCCCACAGTTTTGTTTCCATAGTCCCTGCAGAGATCAAGCAGTGAAGGTGAAGCTGTGACCATGTCTTTTCTTCCTAGGCCAAGGCAGAGGCAGCGTGTGTACCCCAAGTGTACATGGCTGACGACCCCTAAGAGCACCTGGCCACGGTACACCAAACCAGGTGAGGGACTGCGTGGTTTATGCAGAGCCAATGTGCCGGGGAGGACAGAGGACTCCCCTCTCCCGCCCCCCACACCAGCTGCATGTTTTCTCAAGTACGTTTTCATGCAGCTTTTTTCTTTTTTCCTGTGGATACTGTCTCATAGGAAGCAACCAACTTCATTTTTCAAGTGTGATATTTTATATTTTGTTGCCAGTTAGTAAGTACAAATAATTTACAGAAAAACAGCAACAGTGCAGAAAGGTTTGGGGTGTGGAGTAAATGCCCCATTAGAGGCACTTGGCGTCTGAGAACCCTTGGATCGTGGGGCCCGACTGGGGTGGGACCAAGGGTAGAGGCAGGGGCCCCCACCATGACGGAAGCATGTGATGACCCCGCCCTGCCCCCATGTTTGTGGGGTTCTGTGTGGTTCCCTCTTGCTGGTAGTGAGGACATGGGAAGCCCTAGGTTCTGGTGGGTGTCTTGTTTCCGCTCGTCTTTCGCCCCTGCTTTGCTTCCCAGAGGCCCCTGAGCCAGGGCAAATGAGGGCTTCTCAGTTCTGTAGTGCTGCAGGCCTTGGCTTTTGGTGGGGCTGTCAGGAGGGTAGCCTGGAACCACTCACCTATTTCATGAAGTTCCTGAAGTTTCCTCAGAAGAATCTGGTACAAGGAGAAAAGACTTTCACTCGTGGTTATAGATCACCATCACCATGGATGCCTGGATGCAGCCCTGCATGATCTCCCATGCCCACCTGGGTCTGGGCTCTGCCCAGTGTTTAAGCCTAGCCAGATGAGAGGCGGATGGCGCCATGTGTGTCCTCACCTCTATTGTCCTGGGATGGTGATGATCCAGGCACACCCATGGGGGAAGAAACACCTTCATAGGAAAAATGTAGGCAGAATGTGGTGCTCATGTGGACCAAGCCACGAGCAGTCAGCCCCAGGCACCCTGGAAAAGGAGACACTGATGGGGACTCATGTCAAATATGCACAGAGACTCCTCATCAGGAAAACTGATGCTGCACTCTCCTCAGGTCTGTCAATGCGCCTGCTGGAGTCCAAGAAAGGCCTGTCCTCCTTTGCATTTGAGCATAGTGAGGAGTACCAGCAGACTCAGCACAAGTTCCTGGCTGCCGTGGAGTCCATGGAGCCCAACAACATTGTGGTGCGTGTGTCCCCTAGAGAGTTCTCACCAGCCTGCACCCTCTCCTCAGTTATCCAGGCTGCTCTAGGCCTGCATCCCAGCCTGTGGTCGCTCAACCCAAAGTTGTCCTTGTCCTTTCTTTCTTGTTCCTCTGACCCTCACTGTGTGCCTGGGTCATGGGGGCTGGGGGCCATGGCAAGGTGCTTCTCAGGACTTGCCGCCTCTCCCAAGGGCTGTTCGTTTGGGGGAGTGGTGGTAGAGGGTGAAGGTGGAGATCCCACCACAGGGGTGGTCAGTGACTCATCTGAGCAGTGGTGATGAGCTTAGTTTGAGGTGAGGGTATTGTGGGTGTCACCCTTTGTGACACTTTCCCAAGGTTTAAATGACTGAAGGAAGGAAAGCCCTGCCTAGGGCTGGTACTTTGCTGCCTACTGTCCAGGGGCCTCCACCAGCCCCATCCATTGTCCCTCTTTCCTCCCAGGTTCTGCTCCAGACTAGCCCATACCACGTTGACTCACTTCTGCAGCTCAGTGATGCCTGCCGCTTTCAGGAGGATCAGGAGATGGCCCGAGACCTCGTAGGTAAGAGCCTCCATGGGCCCGCCACCCTGCTGTGCCTCGGAACCCACGCACAGCTCTGCTGGAGGAGGATAGGTGCTGCCTTGTAAGGTGACAGCAGGTACACAGGGGTTTGCCAGGACTTTTTTTTTTTTTTTTTTTTTTGAGAGGAAGGGGGAGAGAGAGGTGGGGGGAGGGGCAGAGGAAAAGAGAGAATCTCAAGCAGGCTCTGTACTGGGCCCACTCGGGGCTCAATCTCATGACCCTGACTGAGATCATGACCTGAGCTAAAACCAAGAGTCTGATGCTTAGGTTCCCCTTTTGGATACGATTCATATATTATATAACTTTGCTGTTAAGAGCATACAATTGATACATTGGTGTTTAGTTTATTGTCAGAGTTGTACAGTTACATCACCACCAAATCTAGGAAATTTGTTAACTTACAAAAGAATCCCTGCCCATAACCTGAGACCTCCCTACCTCCAGCCCCTGGCAACCCCAAGTCTGCTTCCTGTTTCTTTGTATTTGCCTGTTATGGACATTTCCTGTCAGTGGATTCCTGTGACACGTCTACCTGGCTTCTGTAATTTACCACAATGTCTTCAAGGGTCACTCCTTTCACGGCTACCTGATACTCTTTAGTGTGGACAGACCATATTTTGTTTATCTGCAAGCACTTGGGGGACACTTAGATGGTTTCCACATCTTGGATCACGTGAATGAGCTGCTGTGGACATGTGTATGTGGGTTTTGTGAGGCCATGTGTTTGTGGCACTTTCAAAATCCTCACTATGTTACCTTCTTCCTTTGAGAGCTTTCTTTGTGAGCCGTAGGGGGATAGGGTTGCATCCACAGTGGCCATGACACCTTCCCCTGGTGTTTGTGTGGCCCTCAGAGAGAGCGCTGTACAGCATGGAGTGTGCCTTCCACCCCTTGTTCAGCCTCACCAGCGGGACCTGCCGGCTGGATTACCGCAGACCTGAGAACAGGTGGGTTTCATGGATGACAGGTGTGTCAAGGTGTGTCCAAGCTGTCACACTATGTGAGTGCCTATATAGGTGTCATTGAAGCAGGTGGCAGGGGACTGTCCCCGATATGTCCTGCCCACTAGCTCACACAAGGGCATCTTGTGTTGTGTTTACAACTTGAATGCAGGAGGGCTGAGTTCAAGGACAGATGGATGGGGCAAGCCTGGTGTTCCCTTTGCCCTTGTTAGAAGTGAGTCTGACAAGCCACTTCATTATGATAGGGTCTGTAGTTGTGTTTACTTGTACGTATGGACAAAAGGATCTGTGCCCTGTGAGTTTAGAATACTCTGGAATGCTTAGTGGGAGCCAAACATGCCAATTCCTAAATCATTGAGCTACTTGAACTCAGCCTGATCCTGTTCCCTGCACCTGCACCTGAGCGGTCATACTTGCTTGATGTTCTGTTCTCACAGATGCACCTCCTGCCCCAGAGCCCCACTCTGGCACCAGCCTTCACTAATGGAGGCCTGAACAGTCTTACCCACTGGATTCCTGCCCTCAGCCTGGCCTTCACGGCCCCCCCGGGCGGTGGGGCGGCATCCTTGGTCCCGGTGCCCTGCTCACCCACTTCTGGCCTCAAGTGTCCTTGGTCATCTCCAGCACTGGATATTCTCCACACCTTGTCAGTCAGCCTGGAACCCAGGACTTCTTGACCATCACCCCCCGCTCGCACCCAGCACAGATTGTCTGGGGTTTTTTGTGTTTGTTTTGTCTCTCCAATTAAATTTTTCATTATTGGAGATAGGTTATAAAATACCAGCATCTGTAGGCACTAGCAGAGTTGGTGGTCATTGATAAAAATAATAGTCCACCAGGATGATTCAAGTCACAAACTTGATGCATCTAGCTGCAGTGCCACTGGCAGCTACTGAGATTTGAGGGTAAATTCAGATGGTAATTACAGTAGGAGATGTGGACTCTGTTCTCTGAAATTATAAACAGTAAAGGAAGAACGCTAAGTTTGTTTTTCTCTACATGGATACACATATAACTGCAAACAACAAGCAGAGCATCGCCTTCTCTGCAGACACAGGGGGACACTCGCGAACATTCACGGTGATTAGGCCACACAGGAAGTGCCGGCGCAGCCAGTGAGCAGAGGGTGGACTCGGTGCTGGACGAGGCTTCCAGGCAGTGCGGCTCTGTGCCTGCTGCTGCTCTCATTCACGAGGAACTGTCTTGGATCTAGGAGCTTCTACCTGGCCCTCTACAAGCAGATGAGCTTCCTGGAGAAGCGAGGCTGCCCACGCACTGCGCTGGAGTTCTGCAAGCTCATCTTGAGGTAAGCGCCCATCACTGCCACCTGTGTGTCGTCTGTGGCCTCAAGCTAGCAGATGTCCACACCAGCCCACTCTGCACTTTGTCTCCCTCTGCCTGTTTGCTGCCTCTGGAAGCCTGGAGCCTGATGAGGACCCCCTGTGCATGCTGCTGCTCATCGATCACCTGGCCTTACGGGCACGCAACTACGAGTACCTGATCCGCCTCTTCCAGGAATGGGAGGTGGGTGTGAACATGATGTCACATGGGGCCGAGTCTCCCTCTCTTGTCTTAGGCCAGAGTCTGTGCGCTCCAGGGCAGTCCTGCAACACCATGGAGAGGGTCTGGGCAGATCCATATGCTCCTTCCTTGCTCCCTGCTCATATGTGCGCACACCAGCTGCTGGGGGTGGGGATGGGGATGGACCATAGGGAATGATGCACATTCGGGAGCTTGTGTGCTGGGTGGGTTCATGTGGACACATGCAGGTGGGGTCTGCCTCCAGTGATACTGAGGCTTAGACTAGGCATAGAAAAGAGTCATTAGTGATCTTCATAATGCTTGCCTTTGAAGTGATGCTATTTTAGTTATTTGGGTTAAATGTCACAGTAGTAACATTTGTTTTATCTGTTTTCTTTTTAATTCAGCTGCTAGGAAATGTGTGTTCCTGTTAGATGGTGCCCTCTTGAGTGTGTGTGAACCTGACCACCTCCAGTGGGGTGGGGGTGGTGGGTAGAGAAATAGCAATTTGTTATCTTTTTGTGTAATTGAGAAATGAAAGAAGTCCAACCACATGGAGAGGTCACCTACATAAATCATTTTGGACTGTGACTTGGCTGATTTGCTGAGGAGTCCCGCTTCTGGGACCTAGTTTACAGAAGTTCCTGGAGCCTCCAGAATGCAGCTGCAGGGAGCACCCCCTCCCTCCACAGTGGGTCTGCAGAAGAATGTTGTGGTAGCCTGTAAGGTTCCATAACTGTGTAGGCCACAGCTCCACTTCAGTGGAGAAAACATGGCATGTCGTTTGTTACATACACACAGAAAAAGGCAAGCTGAGTGCTCGGCCATGTCAGCTGATGTTGATGAGGTCCTGGCAAGAGCAGGGATGGTCCTCATTGCCAACCAGACTTTCTGAGTTCTCCAGTGTGAACTGCAGCCTGAGGTTGGGTGCCTTTCTGTGACCCCACCCAACTTTGCCTGCCCCAGGTCCTTCCACTCTTCCCTGTCAATTCTCCACAACCCCCTACCCCCAAACCCTGCTCCAGAGCCTTTTGACTTGTCTCCTGCCAATAGAAAGCCTCCAGATGCACCATGAAGTGATTTTTATGCCAACAGAACACTTGTTTGCTCATCACAGGGGCTCCTTGAGTGACTTCAGAGTGTCTGTGAATTGTGCATCATTTGTCTTTGCTGTGTCAAAACTCCAGACTTTGTTTCTCCATCTTTGAAGGCTCATCGGAACCTGTCTCAGCTCCCAAATTTCGCCTTCTCTGTGCCATTGGCCTATTTCCTGCTGAGTCAGCAAGCAGACCTCCCTGAGCAGGAGCTCAACTCTGCAAGGGAGCAGGCCTCTCTCCTGATCCGACAGGCACTCACCATGTTCCCTGGAGGTTGGTACATCCTAGCAGCCCCTGCAGACATGGGTGGGCCCCCCCGCACACACGTAGTCATGGTTTGAAAGCTGAAAATGAATCAGAACTGACTTTGCTGTCCAAGTGTCTCAGGGTTTTAGGATAACTAAAAGGTGTTTTAATATTGACTGTTTAAGAAAAACTCCATCTGAAGATGGAGTGTTTTCTAGAGAGAGGGATATGAGCTGCTAGATGTTAGCAGAACTGTGCAGGAGGGACCCAGTCTGCAAACTAGGCATTATATTCTCATCCTCAAATCCTATTTCTCACTGAGTTGAAGAACTTAGAGGCCAGGTTGTCCTGGGATTGCACAGAGGCCCTTCCAAGCATCCCTGTGCTCCCTGGAGGCTGGTGTCCTCGTGGAGATGGAGTCCTGTGGGCTGATCTCAGTGCTAACGAGATCAGAGAAGAGCCTGCTGCTACATCAGGGAACTGGTGGACTTGGGTCCTCTTACCACTTGCAGTTTCACAGAGGAGTATGTGCCCGGGATAGGCTATGTGACTTATGTGCACCATCCTCACATGCCCCCCTATCCCTCGCCCCCATGAGCCTGTTGCATCCCTGGCCAGGCAGAGGAGGCAACCAAGATCCCTACTTTAGGGCTCACATCCTAGGGCAGGGAGGCAGACCAGGGAATGAGATGAGAAGGATAGTAGATGAGGTGGTGCTAAGTGCTAGGGAGAAAACAGAGCTGAGCATGTAGACAAGGGTGGTGGAGGTCTGAGGAGGCAGCCAGGGCAGGGCTGAGGCCCATGTCACTCAGGGTTCCTACCCTACAGCGTGTTCAGTATCTGCTGGTACATCTGGGCTCGACCCCCATTCTGTGCACACACAGAGCTGCCTGTGGTGTTTTCATACAGCCTGGGGTGGTCCTCCTGCACACTGAGCTGCCCTGGAAAGTCCCTCAGACGATAGGGTTCTCCGGGTGCTATGACTATGGGGAAGCTGCAGCTGCTCAGAGCCTGTCTCTGCCCAAGGCCTGAACCCCGTGAGCCTGTAGGTGGAATGTGTGTGATCTCAGTGGTTGGAACGCCTTGTGCGCGTGCTTGGGGGGGTCATGGGTGCGACCCCTCCGATGCAGATGGGGCTGCTGGGAGGCAGCAGGACAGACAACCCCCTCCAAGGTGGCAGAGGCCCCTTGGGGGCTGGCGTGGGTGCCCTGGCCTCACCCCGGTGTCACCCTGCCTTTGGGGGCCCCTGCTTCCTCCTGCAGTCCTCCTACCTTTGCTTGAGTACTGCAGCGTGCGGCCAGATGCCGCTGTCGCCACTCACCGCTTCTTTGGACCGGATGCTGAGATAAGGTAAAGACTGGGATGGGCCCCAAGAGGACAGTGCCCGCCCACGTGTGGGTCATGGGGGTGCCCCTAGGAGCAGAGCCCGGGAACCATTTTCATGAGGCTGGCTGTCACTGCTCTCTCCTCCCACCAGGAGGGTCTTGCCAGGTGCTCTCTGCAGGTGACCTTTGTGGCCAGACTCTTCTCCCACTGAGGAGGGCTGTGTGCCATGTCTACATGGGGCATTGCCTCCTGGTTAGACACCGAGCTGGCCAGCGTGTAAACAGCCCACAGCCCAAAGCACCAACCTTCCTGAGGAGGGGAGTGGACAGGGTGTGGGGCCCACTGTGCTGGCACCTGTAGGCTGGAATTAGCATCGGTACAGTCATTAGTGTGGTCACACGTCTGTATGTGCATGGACTACCTTACTAGGTGTCTTACAAAAAAATAAAGGAAAACATACAGTGTGGGAACCAGCTGCTTTCAGACCCTGTTCATAAACCATCATGGTTCCTGCCTATTTTTGTGTGTGAGCAGACATGCACGTTGTTTTTCCATCTTCTGTTTCTATTGAAGACCTCATATTTATTAAAATACATGTCTTTCTATGGAAGCAAATACTAAAGTGTCCCACCACTGGGCACTGGCACATCCCAGTTCAGCAGCCCCTCTGTGCCACCTCCTCTGGTCCCAGGCTGCTGGACAGGCCCGCACGCTCCCCACAGGTGCAGGTGGGTGCATGGAGGCCGTGCCCTAGCGGGCTCTGCTTACAGGCCCCACTCTCCCACAGCCAGCCCCCTGCCCTGAGCCAGCTGGTGAGCCTGTACCTCGGAAGGTCACACTTCCTCTGGAAGGAGCCCGCCACCATGAGCTGGCTGGAGGAGAACGTTCGTGAGGTTCTGCAGGCGGTGGACTCTGGAGACCCTGCAGTGGAAGCGTGTGAGAGCAGGTGGGCCTGGAGGTGACAGGGCAGTGGTTAGCCTGATGCCCATCTGCTCGGGGTGGCTGTCTCACATGTGGCATCAGGGCCGGGGTGGCTCTCGTCCATGTGCTGCCCCTTTTCTCTGGGCTCTAGACGGAAGGTGCTCTACCAGCGTGCGCCCAGAAATATCCACCGCCACGTGGTCCTGTCCGAGGTCAAGGAAGCTGTTGCTGCCCTCCCCCCGGTAAGGGAGCTTTGTAACATTTGGGGCCCCTCCCCTCACACCTGGGGTTTTGAGAGGTGGGATTGTGCTCCTGACTGGCCCAGCCGCTGTGGGGGCCCTGGAGCCAGTGGCTTAGAGCACTGACATGTGAGATGCTGGCACAGGAGATCACGAAATTTTCTTCCTTCCCTACTGCACATGGGCCATCTGAGTGGGGCAGAGTGAGTGTCCTGGTGGAAGAAAGGCTGTCCCCCACTCCTTCACCCAGTTTCTCAGTACAGTAGACACAGCCTCGCAACCAAGGACCACTTCTATCAGACTGACGGGACTCCTCGCAGAAAAGCCAGTCCAGGCTGGGATCACCTGAAAGTCTGCTGGGGGAAGGCCAGGGCTCACGACGGTTCTGTTTCCCTTTCTGAAGGATGTGACCACGCAGTCTGTGATGGGGTTCGACCCTCTGCCTCCTTTGGACACCATCTACTCCTACGTGAGACCAGAGAGGTACCTCTCCATCTCCCGCTTTGTGCCTTTGCTTGTATAGCTCTGAGTCAGTGCTTGAGGGCTCACTGGGACTCCCAGCCTTCTGCAGACACAAGCCCTCCGAGGACATTGTGCTTTGGGGTCATGGGCAAGCTTTTCTTGGCTATGTTCTTGCGCTTACGCGATGTAGGAGCCTTTTTCGATCAGATTCTAGAGCAGATGTTGGAGGTAACACTGTGAAGTGAGTAAGACACAACCTCTACCCTCATGGAATATGCAGTACAGTGGGGAGATATATTCATTATAGAATCTAGAAATTAATGTAAGATCAAAACTGCATTAAGAAACTGCTGGTACTTTAAAAAAAAAAGAAACTGCTGGTACATATGATTCTGAGAGGAAGCCACGGTCATTGAAGTATGAAGGAATAATATCTTTGCCAAGGAAAGAGGGAGAGAATGCTGGTATTCCAGAAGAGTCAGCATGTGCAAAGGCCCTGTATAAGAAACACAGCACAAGGAGAGCATATTCCAAGAACTGAAAGGAGCCCGTGTGGCCAAGCCAGAAGAGCTATAGTAAGGGCACAGCAGAGCCAAGTCTCCAGCGGATTTGTGGATGGCGTTTAGCCTTGGATCATGGGAAAGCTGCTTTTTTTCTTTTCTTCTAGCCTTAAAAGCTAAGTGATTTCCTTACCATGAGGCTGTTAGCACCACACTGTAGATCTGAAAGTCATAGGCAGATTTTCCCGTTTCAAAAAAGTATGCTTTTCAGACCTCTCAGAGCACATTATTTAGGATAAAGGACTTTTTCTTAACTGAATTACATTCTAAAAATTGGACTGAGTGCTTCTGGGGAACCAGTGCCCAGTTAAATTCTCAGAATGATTAAGGGGACATGAATTTTTAATGTTGTTAGGTTCACACAAAAAGCTAACTTGCTGGACATTTAGCCCTGAGGAGTGGTTAAAGGGCTTTGCCAACCCGAGGCCATCGGTCCTTAAATGTCCAATGGAGGGCAGCCCAGGTGGCTCAGTGGTTTAGCGCCACCTTCAGCCCAGGGCATGATCCTGGAGACCCAGGATCGAGTCCCACATTGGCCTCTGCATGGAGCCTGCTTCTCCCTCTGCCTGTGTCTCTGCCTCTCTTTCTGTCTCTCTCATGAATTTAAAAAAAAAAAAAAAAAAAAAATCTTAAAAAAATGTTCAGTGGAGCTGGGCTGCAGCACCAAGTCCTACCAGGAGGGTCCTCCCCAGCACACACATCTTCTCTTCACATGACCCCTTTGCACCCGTGCATGGCTTTTCTCAAAAGCAAGCCACTGTGCCATGGCAGGTGACCCTCTGCTGTCTGCTCAGCTCAGCCGGCCAGGTCTGCAAGGACCCGCCCCCTCTGGAAGGCCTTCCCTGAGGCCTGAGCTGGTGCCCAGCTGCTGCTTGGGTTGCGGTGGTGGGTATATCCCCGCTGCCAAGGGCAGAGTGTACTGTGTGCTTCCTGACCTTCTTCCCTCCTTTTTCAGGCTGAGTCCCGTCAGCCATGGAAACACAATTGCACTCTTCTTCCGGTCCCTGTTGCCTAATTACACCATGGAGGTATGTGAGCATGTCTTGGCCCCTCTCTGCCACATGGGTTCATGGAGGGCTGTGGGCTGTGCATGTCTAGAGGCTTTACTGACTCCAGCAGCCTGCTCAGGAGACTGGGACATCCCTCCCTGAAACTGTAACCGCCACCTTGGCCCCGCTCTGGGGCCTGGCCTTGTCAGTCACATGTTTGGGTTAGGAGCTTCTTCCTGACAGGGTCCTAGGCCAGCTGGGTTGGGAGCAGTGGGCCTCAGAGCCCAGGACAACCCCTGCTCAGACGAGTCTCATTGCTGCAGGGGGAGAGGCTGGAGGATGGAGGGGCTGGGGGTCTGAACCACAACCAAGGCTTGAACAGGCTGATGCTGGCCGTACGAGACATGATGGCCAACTTCCACTTCCACGACGTGGAGGCAGCTCGCGAGGACAACCCCGAGGGGGATGGGGAGTGGGACTGAGCCCGCGTAGATGCCACGCCCCAACGCTGTACAATTATGTTCCTGATTGCTGTTCTGGTCGGAATTGACCAGTTCCCTGAAGTAGAAATGCTGTGTTGTCCGCTTGCCTCCTTTGTGTCTCCTATAAATGTGAATGGGTTACGCTCCGTGCAGCATGAGCTCTTCTTTCCTGGGGCTGGAGTTCCTGCCCAATGTGAGGCAGGTGGGTGCTGGATCTGCATAGCCCCTGAGCTGTCCCAGGAGAGGACATGACCCACAGTCACACACAGCCAAGCCCAAGCCGCATGTGAACTCTCTCCATGGCCACCCTGCCCCCCATATTTTGGGGCACAGAGTAGAGAAGGCCCCACTGGTTTCCAGTGCAACATTTCTGCTGAGAACACAGAGACATGCTTCCATTGGGAACTTGGAACAGGCTGGCCAGGGGCAGGGGGTGCTGACACTGGAGTCCTTGGCCGGGGCATCACACCAATGCAGAATCCCAGTGATTTTATCGGGAAACTTCAGGGCAGGAGTTAGAGGGAGCTGGAGGGAGGCTGAGAGGTGGACCTTGGAAAGGATGTCCTGCCAGCTCTGGGGAGTGTGTGTAGCAGGGGTTAGGGTGCATTTGATGGGGGAGGGGGAGAGCAGTGAGGTGAATAGAGCATGGAGGAGGGCTCATCACCTGGGGCAAGTCCTGGCCTACTTGACAGCTCAGTACCACACAGCCCTGCCAGTCTGTCGGATGCCCTCCCTGCCCTGACCTCCATCCCTATAGGTAGCCCACAGCTGGGAGGGAGGGAGCACATGCTGCTTACATGCTCTGGGCCAAGATCAGTTCTGCTGAGCATTGGTATAGAGGCCCTTCTCCCAGGAGGTCCCACACAGCATTCTAGACAGTGACATGGAATCACCTGTTGGGGGAGATCTGTTAAGTTATCCTGTCCGAAGTTCCCAGCTAGGGAACTCCCAGCATCTGGGAGTTAACAGAAGCCTCTGCTCTGAACGCCCATGGTAAGAACGGTGCCCTGCAGATATGTTGATGTTGGTCAGTTACTACCCATGCTTAATTCCTTGTCACCATAACTGGATTTGCTGGGTGGGATTGGGTATGATTGAGATAATCCCAGACTATCCTAGATCTACATGTCTCCCACTAGGGTATCCTGCGATAAGCTTCAGCCAACAGGATAGGAGTCTACTGGGTTCCCCCAGAAAGGGGTTGGTCCTCTGATAATGACAGGCAAGCAAGAACTTGGTACTCTGCATCTTCCAGCCTTAAATACAACCAGATGGGATTGTGATATCCGGAGCTACAGCAGCCATTTTACAGTCAGGAGTTGCTGACCCTCAAAAAAAAAAAAAAAAAAAGGAGTTGCTGACCCTCAAAATGAAGAGCCAGTGCCCTAGAGATAGGCAAAGAGAGGCTGGGCCCAGATTGGTGAGACTGCTCACTTCTGGGCCTGCTGTCCCAAGAGATTATTAAATCATCAGTGCGCAGCTAAAACGCTTGGGTTAGGTCATTACTTGTCGCTCTGTTTCCATGGAGATGAAAAGACAGCCACCTTTCTCAAATCTAAACATCTGCTCTGAAGGCTTGCCTTGCCACCCAGTGTCCAGGCAAAGGTGAATTGGCTCTTCCCGGGCCTCCTGCTGCCCGTGGACAGATTGCTAATAGTTTATGCTCTTTCCCACCAAGTCAGGCCCTACCTCAGGGTCTTTAGGGCAGACACCACAGGTAGGGCACACAAGGTGTTCCCCTCACTGAGTTCAAAGACTTCATGGTGACTCAGCTCTGGGCTGGATCTTCCTGAGATCCCACGATGACAAGATCCAGGAGGAGCCAGCTGTATACCCCACATGGCTGCCGGGGTGGGGGTGGGGTAGGAGGGCTGCTGTGTCTCCTGGCTGGCCCTGGGAGGACCTCCATGAAGGAAGCAGGGCCTCCTGGTGTGGCCATGGCTAGACACTGGTATCTCACTGGTCTCTGCAGTGAGAGGCTATTTACACTCCAGCTCCCACATGAAGGTCATTTACACATTGAATGCTCCCATGTTGCGGGCCTCGTGTGCAACTGGCACTCAACTGTTCTTGGTACTGGAGACAGCCACTGAGCGACTCTTGTTCTCTCAGCCTCCTCACAGATGGGTCAGGCCCATCTTCTCGTGTTGATACCTGCTCATGTCCACCACCTGTCTCCTGGCCCTTCTCCGTGTCTCCCAGGAGCACTAGAGATCAAGTTGATAGAATTGGCCTTCAGATGATCTGTGATTTCATTTAGACATTTCCCTCATAACCATAACTAATCACGAAGTTGGGTGTCTTCCTCCCAAGAAGTCCCCAACGGGCACATCAGAACCAGATGGGGAGTCTCGAGGCCTCACCAGGAAGAGGCTATCCAGTTCTCACGCTCTTTGAAGTCTCATGCGGCGGGGTGGGGGGGGGAGCACATCCGTCTCAAAGGCCTCATTTATGGAGCTGGAAATACCGTCCCTGCAGTGTGCTGACACAGGAGCTGGGAGCGAGGCTGCCCCCTCTAGAGGGAAGGTGGTCCTTGGTGATGGACAGCTGTGGTGCTAGTCCCAGGACCCTTTGCTCCCTCTGGGGTTCTCCCATCAGGACAACAGAATGGGAAGATGCCAAGTCCACAGAAGGCAAAAAGCTGGAAGGGGAAGCTCGGTGTGTGGGCCTATCCTGTGGCTGGTGCCTGTGGGTGTGGGTTGTCTTCATCTCCTATAGGGGGAGGCGGGGGTGGTGCTCATGTCCTGTCAGCAACAGAGGAACAAGTCCACTCCATGTCACCATGTGGACACACTTGGCCTATGTCCACCATAAGATGGGACAGGAACAGCCAGCAAGTACTGTCTGTAACAGACGGGAGATTCCCAGTGTGGTCTGTATTCTTGAAGACCGCTACACACACCACAAGGATATCTGAGTGCAAAGAAAGGCACAACCTGAATTCTAAAATAGGTAAAATGGGCAGCCCTGGTGGCTCAGCAGTTTAGCGCTGCCTTCAGCCCAGGGTGTGATCCTGGAGACCCGAGATCGAGTCCCACGTTGGGCTCCCAGCATGGAGCCTGTTTCTCCCTCTGCCTGTGTCTCTGCCTCTCCCTCCCTCTCTCTCTCTCTAATGAATAAATAAATAAAATCTTTTAAAAAATTTTTTTTAAAGTTTTTTAAAAATTAAAAAAGTAAAATAGGTAAAATGAACCAATGGTCAGGGAATGACTCCCAGGGTGAGCAGATGCCCTAGGTGTTCTCGGGTAATTCACATTTTATTTTTTGGTCTGGATGCTGCTTTCCTGGCTGTAAAGGTTGGGACATCCACTAACCTACATATTTACAGTTCGTGTACTTTTATGTATGATGTACTTCAATAAGAAGCACCGTCCAAGGGGGGGAAGCTGCCTTGCTGAGCGATGCAGATTTAAGGGATATTTATGAGTGGTTATGACTATGTGATCACACGTGTGGGTGTGCTGGCATCAGAGTGGATGAGAGAGTGGGCTTGAACAGGAATGTCACAGATGACACTGCAACCACCCTCCCAGCTTCCTCTTATGTCTCCTGCACCACCCCTGCCACCTCCATCACCTCCACCACCATCTCCACCACCTTCACCTCTATCTCTGCCACCACCACCAAGCCAGGCCCTTGTCTTTCTTGTTGCCTCAGGTTTTCTCCACCTACCAACAAATAGATCTCCGCCCCCCCTCCTGCCAGCCTCCACTCCTCAGAGGAGAAATCACAGTCTTTAGTGAGAAAGTGCTGGGAGTAGGTGCCCGCAGGCCACTCTTAGCTTCCCTGTGGCTTGCTCAGTACACCATGTGGCTGGAGACCCGAGGTCTGCCCTTGAAGTGGTTTCTTATGCAGAGGAAGTGGCGGCTGTCAGGGTCCTCCCCTTCCCCCACTGTAGGATGAGGCAGAGCAAGGGCCTGACCCTGACGTGCGTGACCAGGATGCCCTCCAGCAGGGCTCAGTGAAGGGGGTGGGGGTCCTCAGGAGCAGGGACTGCCCTTAGTGTCTAACATGAGGTAGGGAGTTAGGGGTTCAAGCTGGGGATGAGTGGTCAGCAGCCAGTGACTGTATCTAGGCAGGGTGGCATCAGGTGGGTGGTCAGAGATCAGACAGTTCCCAAGAGGAGGTGGTGTTTGCTGTGGGTTTGCAGTATATTTAGGGGACCCCACATAGGCAGACACTGGGAGCGGAGCCAGGTGAGGGGGCACACATCCAGCTGAGCCCCAGCGTCCAACGTCCTTGGGGCCAGGATAGCCCTGGGTGCCATTTGTGCTGCCTGGAGGGTGCAGTGGGTTCTCTCCGATGCATGCATCCAGGGTGCACGCCCATCACGTGGCCACCCTCAGGAGGAGGGGCTCCGGAGCCTTTAAAGATGTGGAGAAAGGCGTCATTCTTTCTGGAGTGGGACCTCAGCCCCCTCCAGGCCTGGGAAAGCGGGAGCCCTGAGCCGCCATGAGGCAGCAAGAAGATAGAAACGTATGTCTGAACCTGAGCAACTGCCCCTCCATGGAAGAGGTGGGGAGGTGGGCTGAGGGTCGAGGGGTCCAAAGAGACTAGAGGGTTGGTGTCAGGGAGCTTGGGGTCCTGGCTGGGAAGCGACTGCTCTGTCAGGAAGCTGGACTCTCTGGCTGGGTCATGGCTGAGCTGACACTTGTACAGACCGGGAGAGGGCAAATGTGAGGGCGGCCCTGGAGGACAGACAGGCCCTGCTGGTGGCACCATGAGCTGAGCGAGACACCTGAGAGCGAGGACCCTGCTCTGCTCCCTGCTGGGACCATGTCTGGGCAGGGCCCCCAGAGAAGGCTGCTGGGCTCTCTCAATGCCACCTCCCCAGCCACCCCTCACTTCAAGCTGGCTGCCAACCAGACCGGGCCCCGGTGCCTGGAGGTGTCCATTCCCGACGGGCTGTTCCTCAGCCTGGGGCTGGTGAGCGTTGTGGAAAATGTGCTGGTGGTGGCCGCCATTGCCAAGAACCGCAACCTGCACTCGCCCATGTATTACTTCATCGGTTGCCTGGCTGTGTCCGACCTGCTGGTGAGCGTGAGCAATGTGCTGGAGACGGCCGTCATGCTGCTGGCGGAGGCAGGCGCCTTGGCTGCTCAGGCTGCTGTGGTGCAGCAGCTGGACGACATCATTGACGTGCTCATCTGTGGTTCCATGGTATCCAGCCTCTGCTTCCTGGGCGCCATTGCCGTGGACCGCTACCTCTCCATCTTCTACGCGCTGCGATACCACAGCATCGTCACACTCCCGCGGGCGTGGCGGGCCATCTCCGCTATCTGGGTGGCTAGCGTCCTCTCCAGCACGCTCTTCATTGCCTACTACAGTCACACGGCCGTCCTGCTTTGTCTTGTCAGCTTCTTTGTAGCCATGCTGGTGCTCATGGCAGTGCTGTACGTCCACATGCTTGCCCGCGCCTGCCAGCACGCCCGAGGTATTGCCCGGCTCCATAAGAGGCAGCACTCCGTCCACCAGGGCTTTGGCCTCAAGGGCGCTGCCACACTCACTATCCTGCTGGGCATTTTCTTTCTCTGCTGGGGCCCCTTCTTCTTGCACCTCTCACTCATGGTCCTCTGCCCTCAACACCCCATCTGTGGCTGCGTCTTTCAGAACTTCAACCTCTTCCTCACCCTCATCATCTGCAACTCCATCATTGACCCCTTCATCTACGCCTTCCGCAGCCAGGAGCTCCGAAAGACTCTCCAAGAGGTAGTGCTATGTTCCTGGTGAGGCTGCAGGCTTGAGGCCAGGGTGCTGGGCAGAGGGAGGTGGTGATTGATACCCATGTGACTGGGGCAGTCACTTGCAGAAAAGGACAGATGAGCTGATCTGTGGTGTGGTGGATGCATGGACCCTCTGGGGCCAGAGAAAGGAATAAACAAAAATCTCCAGGAGTTGCTGTGGAGAATGGAGCAGGCTGGGGAGATGGTGGGGCCACAGACACGAGAGCCAGGTCCGGGGCTTCTGGACAGCATCTCTGGCTGCTCCTGGAGAGTTCCTTCTCCACCCAGGGGCCAGGCAAGGCCTGCACAAACCCACCTTTGCTGCCAGGTCTGGAGATTTGGGCCCCTGCCCGTTGGGATGTGAAGTCTCAGTGTTGGTAGCATGACAAGTACTGCTCTCGGGAAGGCCTCCAGGAAAAGGACTTTGTGACCAGCCAGACCTCACAGGACTGCTTCGGGAAGAAGTGAGCTCCTGTTGCAAGCAGAGGGACTGTCTACAGGAGCTGCAGTGGAGGGTAGGGCTGATCTAAGGTCTAGTGGTAACCAGAGAGCTGGTGACCCAACTGTGTGCACGTGCACCGCGTGTACCCGCCAGACAGTGTTGGTCAGTGCCTGCTCAGGCCAAGGCAGAGGTCGTCAGCCCGAATCAGTGACCGGTGCCCAGGGTCTCAGGGCTGGGAAGCAGTCTGGTAATAAATGCTGTGTCTGGCATTTATCACCATCCGCTTTGCGTCCTTTGGGAAATTGCTTGCAACTGGAGGGGGTGGGGCAAGGGCGGGGTTGAGGGTGATGAACAGGGAGCTGTGAATCCCAGAAACCAGGGTGGGCCTGCCTAGCTGAAGAAGCCACAGCCCCAGAGCACCTGAATGCCTGAGCCCCTGCCCAAGGAGAGAGTGTAGGGGTCCCCTGATCACACCTACTCTGGGCCTGTGTCTTAGTTTTCTCTCTTCCTGGTGTAAACCCCAGCTCAGAACAACCAGAGTCAGAAGCAGCAGGAATGGGATCCCTGGGTGGCTCAGCGGTTTAGCACCTGCCTTTGGCCCGGGGCATGATCCTGGACCCACATCGGGCTCCTGCAGGGAGCCTGTTTCTCCCTCTGCCTATGTCTCTGCCTCTCTCTCTCTCTGTCTCTGTCTCTGTCTCTGTCTCTCTCTCTCTCTCATGAATAAATAAAGAATCTTAAAAAAAAAAAAAAAACAGGAACAGCAGCTGCCCCCACCCCACCCCTGCCCCCAGTCACCTCCAAGGTGATATGACTCAGCACTGTCCAGGCTGCCCTTGATGGCAGCAGAAGCAGGACCACCATGACCCATATGTGACCTCCATGTATGCTCTGAGGAACACAGCAGGGCCCCCAGGGTGTGCCAGGGGTTGGGGGCTGCTTTCCCCCACAACTGCTCTCCTGGGAGAGGGAGGTCAGTGCTCAGCCAGCTCTGGGAAGTGCTTGAGGCAAGGCCTCCCAGAATGGAGTGGGACTGTCCAAGTCCAAGCCGTGAAGGAGTGCACGTTGGGTAAACCGTGCTGCCTGTTGCTGGAAGCCCTTGGGTCCTCCCTCTGTGACAAACCTGGGTTTCTCATGGAAGAGCCCACCTGGTTTCCTCCACAGATACTGAGCGTACAGTCGACCCCCTTCCTGATACAGGTTCGGCAGTGGCAAGGATGATGGTATCAGTCAATTTGAAGGCAGGTCTAGAAATGCCTAAAGTCTTCTGCAGCCTCTGGCCAACCACCCCCAGCACTGCCCTAGCCAGCCGCCACCCACGCTGGCAGCTTCAGCCCAGACTGCTGGCCTCAATGCCAGGAGCTGGTTCCCGGCAGGGCCAGCCTTTGCTGGGAGACAAGACAGTGAGTCAGCCTTGAACCTGGCACCAGAGCCCTCTGGGGATGGAGAGAGCGCTGGCCTGGCCCACTGCCATCACGCAGGGAGGCAGGGCATGTGGGTAATGGGTCTTGGATGCTGCAAAGCTTCTTCCTTTGCTCAGACGGGGAGGTGCAGCCAGCTCCGGGGAAGAGCCAAATGCTCACCAAGGACCCCCTGAATGGGGACAGGGAGGGGCCCCAGGCAGTGGAAGCCAACCACAGAAAGCCACATCATGGACACATTGTGGGGGAGGGGCGTCTCTTGAGAACAAAAGACCCATTTCTAGACTAGCCAAACTGGAGAGCTTGGGGGACGGGGGAAGAGGGGCTTGTGCACGGCCACACCCTGTCAACGCACTCTTGAGGAGCCCAGACACAGACACATCACAGGCCTATTCAGCCAACAGCTTGTGGAACTCCCATGCACTCTGAGACCCTTTCTGGGAGAATTTCTTACTCAACTATCAGAAGGACCTTGTTATAAGGTCATTTCACTACAGAGTCTGGCCCCAGAAGAATAGTAAGCCAGTGGTATATGTATGCGTAACATAACATCTGTACTGCATGTCCACTTCATCCCCTTTCTCTTCTGACCAGTGGACTCCCTTTCCCAGTTTTTTTCCCCAAGAATCTCCCCCATCTCTGCCTTATGCACACACCATCTCACTACATAGCCCCTACCACCAATGTTGTGTTGGCCTCACTTGGACCAAAAGTCCAGGAGTACAGGTGACATCAGGAAGTGAATCAGACAGAAACCACTGCCCACCATCCCACACCCTGCCAGTCCCTCACCTGGCTTGTGTCCTTCCGATAATTCCTGACATCAATATTCACTGAGCAGCGGCTACACACCAGGCACTGTGCCTCGCTGGGGTACAAAGCCTCCCCCTGCGCAAGGTCCATTTGGAATCTCATGAAAGCCCCTGAGGGAGGAGGGGCGGGTGGCATCCCCCCACTGCAGGGAAGGACGGGGACGTTCACAGCTGCCATTGTAATCGACCGTCCTTCTGACTCCGCGTGTCTGAGCCCCGCTCCATGCTTTCTTCTGGAGGGTTCAGTGTCTGCTGCAGCCTCTTCCTGCCTCTCCCACCCCTAAGGGACCCAGCAAAGCTCAGGGTACCCCGTTCGTCCCTTTATGCCACAAGACAGGGAGCTGAGAGGGAGAGGCGTCCTTTTGGGATGGAACCTGGGGTTGGTCCCTGAGCGGGTGTGGGGAAGAAAGACTGCAAAGCCGCGGGGTGGGGCTGCCGCAGCGGTGGGACCCGGGAGGGAAGTCTGGGCGGGGTCCGAGCGCCAAGAGGGGCTTCTATTGTCCTCCCAGGAGCCCGCCAGCCCCTCCCCTCGGTGTGCGGGGTGGGGCCCAGACTCCCGCCCCCCGCGGGCCCCCCGGACGCGGGTGGCGGCGGGAGGAGGCGCCGCAGCGCGCTGCCGGGCGGGGATGCGCGGTGCTGATGCTGCAGGCCGGTGCCGCATTCTGCGGCGGCGTCCCCCGATTGGCCGCGCGCGGTGACGCCAGGCCGGGCGCTGCGGGGGGGCCCAGCCTATAAGAGCGGGCGGCGGGGGCGGCCGACCCTCCGCAGCCAGCCCCGACCCGTCCGCGCGTGTCCCGCAGCCGCCCGCCACACGCACCGAGCATGAGGGAGATCGTGCACATCCAGGCCGGCCAGTGCGGCAACCAGATCGGAGCCAAGGTGAGGACGCGCGCCGCCTCCGTCCCCTCCCCCGCCCCAGGCTGGGTCCCCGACACCGGCACGCGACCCGCGTCCCCACCCAGAGCCGCGCTTGCCCCCGCGAAGCCGAGAACAAAGGGACGAGCCGGGGTGATCCCGGCCCTGCCACGTCCACACCGCCTGCCCTCTGTTCCTGCCCGGGTTCGCTCAGGCCTGCAGGAGCGCAGCCCAAGTCGGCGACTAAGCTCCATCCACAGCGGCTGCAGCTGCGGGGACTGTTTGGGCGTGGCCCTCTTCTTGGGGTCGCAACTCAGCCTTGAGCGAGATGGGTGGGGTGGGCAGGTGTGGGTGGGACGCCCCCTTCAAAGCCGAAATGATTCCATCTGCCCTGCTCCCGCTCCCCCCACGAACAGGATGCCCTCCAAGTGGCCAGAACCCCCCCCCACAGGCCCCCAAACTCACGGTTTGGAACCTCAGCTTCCTGACCCCACCCTGTTCCTTTGTTGGGGGAGGGGTTGGGCCCAACTCGGGGTGACCTTGGCCCAGGACTGGACTCTCCCTCTGCTCAGCCCCGCCTGGGCAAACGCCTGGTGGGGTTGGACAGCACTCACTCAGGGACCATGGAGTCAGGGTGGGTTGTGGGAACAAAGCTGGGCTCTGGAATGGAGAGCTGCATCACCCTGCGGCTCCTCCCCTCCATTGTTAGCCTACCTCGGAGACCTTGGGACTAAGGGGATGAGGAGGTGGTATCATTCCCCACTGGAACCTAGGAGACAGATGTCACGTCCCCAAGTCCAAGGAGATTGTTTCTTGCCCAAGGTCACACAGCAAGTGTGAGAAAGAGCCATGCTACCTTCCAGCTCTCTCGTCCCTGCAGACGTCTAGCCCAGGGCTCAGGCTGGGTGGGTGGGGCCTGCTGCCCACTGGGACACTCCACAGAACAAAATGGGGGACCCCAGGGGTGGCTTTGTCAGGACCAAGGCCAGGGACCCAGGGTGCAGTGGTGCGGGGCGAGTTTCCCAAAGGAGGCAGTGGGAGGAGACAAGTCTTGGAGGGGAAGGGGCCAAGGAAGGGATTCCTCTGGAGGCTGTTGCCATGGAAACCAGGCAAGAACAAAAAGCTAATTACAACCCGGCTGGGGCAGCCTCGTGGCTGATATGTAAATTGCAACTTCTCTAGGGTGGAGGCGACTTGGATGGGGTGGAGGGGTGGTACCAGGGAGACTCCCTAATCACCCGAAGAAACAGCTGTGCCTGCCCCAGAAAGGGGGCTGGGAGAGGGGGAGGCCGGGGGGATGATGGCCTCAAATCAAATCAGGGCTCCTGGGGCAGTCACTGACAGCTGCCCTGGCCAGGTGGGAGGGGCGGGGGGGCTCATTAATGTGGTCACAGGGGCCAGGCCTGCCCTGAACATCTGCTCCTCAGAGGGTCAGGGGTCACTGGGGGAGGGAGGGCAGCCCTGAGTTCGGCCTGAGCCTAGGGGAGTCATGATCTGTTTATACACCTATGCCTTCTGTGGCCCGGACAGACACATATCAAGCAAAGGCAAGTCCACGCCCGGAGCTGTAGCTGGGCTAGGGGGTAGGGGTAGTGGGAGGGAGGTGGCAGGAGGAGGAGGGAAGAGGGCAGGGGCCATAGCCTGAATGCTGGACATGTGTCCTCAGCTGAGATTTTTTTCCCCCTTCTTAGAGTTGTGGTGGCCTCATGGGTTTGCTAATTATTTTTATTCCTTTTGGGTTGATTTTCTTATTTTATGTTGTTTTAAAAATTAATGTCTGATCCTTTCTAACAATGAAACCAGAGAGGTGGATTTTGTGGGGGGAGGAATTGTTTCTTTTCCACCTCTGCCTTTTTTGGCCGACCAATGACAGCATTTGAGCTTTTTCCTTCTGGACTCCTTGTCCTGGAAAGTCTTCAGAGACCAAACTCAAAGAAAATGCTGAAAGCTGGGGCCAGGCCCAGCAGATGCTGACATCTGCCCTATGGAGGGGCAGTTCATTAACCATTTCTGTTTACTGATCCCATATTGGCTGTGGGCTTTCTGGTGAGGGGAGAGAGCAAACCTTGACATCCCATCACCAGCAGCAGCTGACAGGGGTGAGGGTGGGGGTGGGGTGCGGCTGCTGCTCTGCTTGCTGGACCTGGAGTGGTGCCTGGCACAGTTGCGCCTG